GCTTTGGTTGGAAACAGAATTATGCTTTTAAAAGAATTTCTAGGTGATAAAAACACTCACATCTTACTGTTAGACTATATGCATATTGCCAAACATCAGAAGGAAACTATTCAGATGTTTGGTCTACCAACATGTCAACCGTCTGGAGGTTTCCAAAAAGAGTATTTAAATCTTTATCATGGCAATGCTTTTTTTCTTTTTCATATGAATAGTTCTATGACACCTGATAATTCAGTGGAAAAGGTTTCATTTAAATTGGTTTTTGGTGTTATGCCAGATACACACAGCTTTTAAAGTTGCCCAGATCTTTAGGTCCCTTTTTGGAAGATGCATATCTTTCCATGATAAATGAAGAATCATTAAGAAATTGAAAATTATGTAATAGGTCTCTTGCACTAAACTAAGGTTTGGGACTTAAACACTGAGGCCATGGAGTTAGGTGCTGCCCCTCCCTGCCATGAGATACTCCAGTGTTTGAAGCTTGGATGTTACTAAGTAGAATTTGGAAGGACCCTCTGTACCTCATTGCTCAGACCATATATCTATATGTTGCTTCAAGTAACTGAAGTAGAACATTCTTTGAAGGTGGAAAAGAACCATTATCCTGACTACTTTCCTTTGAAGTTTATGGATGTAATTCCATATTGGCTAGGCTGGAGTAACCCTGATCAAGGCAAATTTCAAAAAGACACAAGGGATCTTTTAGGTAAAACAAAACAAAACTAAATAAAAAACACTGAAAGGTAGATAAAAAGACCAGATTATATACCTGGATTTACTGAATAGAGGAGAAGAGCATGGAGATGGGTTCATGATCATAGTTCTGGGTTAATAGAATCCATCTTATTCTGAATACTCTGATATGCCTTGGAGAAATGGCTGCATGTATATGACTTAAAAAACTTTACATTTAATGTGCTATAGTCAGCAGTATGCTGGTAAAGTTGTAACAATTGACTCTCTGGAAAAACAAATGCGTGTATGCACATAAATACATATTTTTATTGTAAATTTTACTGATAGATATATGACATATAATTTTAAAATAATAAAATATGGATATTGTTTATTGTAAATTCCATACAGCCACTAGGTTTTCACAGAATGCTTTCACTGATTTCTTTTGAACATTTATGTCTGAGGCCAAACTATGGTTGCATGTGATGTGTGAGTGTACTTATGATATGAATATTAGTTTATATCTTTGTTTATGCAAATGAGTGAAATCAAAACAACAGAACTACATATTGGAATTTCACTCATTTGTCAAAGAGGTGAGTAACTTCTTTGTTGAACTGCAAGAGTTTTCAAATACTGAAGTAGTAGTATCTCAGGGTTTTATTGTATTCACATCATAATTGCTATCAAAACTCATTTTTTAAATTTAATCTGCCTTATAAAATTGTTTTCCGTCACTTTCTTCAGCATCACTTTCTTGAGTATAGGCAATAAGCAAATCGATGAATGATTAATAGCATTTGCTTATTTCTGTAATATAATTTTCCCACCATGGTCCATTTCAAGCTACCAGTGTGACATTACTGAACATGTGGTAGGGGGTACCGTTGCTGTGTGCCCCGTGTAGGGGTGTAGCCCTGCCAGCACACAGCTATGGCAGAATTAGACAGTCCGAAGAGCATCGGTTAAAGTGTAGTGTAACAGAAAGTCATAAGTTTTGAGTATGCCCTTTGCTTTTGTGATGGTTAATCATACGTGCCAACTTGCCTGCATTGGGAGGTGCCCAGATCGAGCATTATTTCTGGTGTGTCTGTATGGGTATTTCTGGATGAGCCCAATATTTGAGTCTGTGGCTCACTAAAGCAGATCACCCTTCTCCATGTGGGTGCATGACATCCATCTTTTGAGGCACTGAGGAGAACAAAGGGCAGAAAAAAGAGGAAGTCACTCCTTTTATTTTCTGTGTGTCTGCTTGAGCTGGGACATTTCATCTTCATTCTCTCCTGCCCTTGAACTAAATTACACTGCCAGCTCTTCTGGTTTTCCAGCTTGCAGATGGCAGATTCCAGGACTTCTCAGCACTCATAATCAGGTGAGCAAATTGCTTATCATAATAAATCTCAAAATCTCTATAAATATGTATATACATATATGATATATAATAAATAATGTATATAATAAAATACATATATACATATCCATGGTTAAATACATAAATATTGTGCGTTCTCTCTCTCTCTCTCTCTCTCTCTCTCTATATATATATATATATATATATATATATTCTGTTTGTCTGAAGAACTCTGAGAAGATTCTGAGAACTCTATAAGGTTTAATTACAAATTTATACAGGTTGATTTTGAGTAATGGTTGTGTTTCATAACCAGCTCATATTCCTGAAAATCTAACAATTGACACTCACATGCTCACTGTCTATAATTTTTGCAGCTCAGGCAGTTTTACTCTAAGAAAGCTTTACCTGAGCATGAAGTAGGGGAGGGAAATATGCCCAAAGAAACTTTTTGTCTTGGAGGAATTAGCTGAAAGTCTATATGCGACCAGTGGACAGTGAAAATATTGACAGTTCATGCCTGTGGGCTGTAGCATGAGTGACACTGGACATGCAGCTTCAGCTTCAATTTCAGCCCTGGTATTGCCAAACCCAGCAATTATAATGAGGCAGTGAAGGGGGAGACAGGCGACAACCATAAGCAGGGTTTTCTGGAAGATTGTTCTTTTCAGAGCCCAATCTTTAGAAGTATGTCTCAGTTCCTGTTCTCCCAGTATAAGCACCAATGGGATTTTGAGTCATTTTTTTAAGTAATTGTTGAAAAGTATTTAAAGAAAGAAACCTCAGGAAAAATCCTCATCTTCTTATGTGACTGGCCTCAGGAAATTTCATTTTAGGCATTAAAAGATGATGGGACCTTCTTTTTTCATCTCCCTATTGTGATGCCTGGTTATCTGTGGCAATACGGTTGGAGGACCACGGGGAAAATAGTAAAATTATCATGTGCAACTTTAACACCTAATGAAAACCTAAAATGAAGCCCCAAAATATTCATTTTTGAAAATGACCACACACAAGAGGCTCAAAAAGCTGTAGTTTTACTCATTGACATTATGGGGTACATTAAGTCAACAGATAAATGAAGCATGCCTCAATGTTAAGCTAAATTGTGAGCATGAAGACTTCTCAAAATTAACACTATGGGATGGTGAGAAGGCTATACATGACAAAATGAAAAATGTTTATGTTTAATTAATCTTGACATGATGCAGACAACTACCACACTTCTAAGAGCAAGGTGAGTGGAATACTGAGGCTCAGTACATGACACATGAATTCTGTTCTACCTTCTTCCATCAAAGGCTTTGCTTATCAAGGGGTCTTATTTTGTCATGAGCTATACTAGTAAAATGAGGGTGGGGTAAAAACAGAAGCCACTTACAATTTTACAGTTCTGACTTGAGCTTGCATAATGTGAGGGGTTTTGGTCAAAGGGTTAATTTCTTTCGTTCTCCAAAGAACAGAGCTAGGTAACAACCTTCACTAGAAAACAGGCAATTTCACTGAGTACATTTACCCGTCGGCTGGACTGATAAAAATGTAAGAAGTATAATGCATGCCAAGTGAAAACCAAAATATGTCTAAGTACAAGATTCCTGGTATGCTTAGATTTCTTGATTCTTGTCCTAGTGGATTTTTTGATTCATTGTCTGATTAAAAGAAAAAAAATGGAAGCCATGGTTATTACAAATTATAAAATATTATGTAACATTGATAATATTTATAAAATTTAAATAATACTAAGAAACCTACTGAGTGACAACATCACTAACTCCATTTTATAGGTGAGAACACTAATTAAATAACTTGGGTTAAAGTCCCATAGTGAGATTCAGGCAGAACTAAGAAAAGAACCAAAGTTTCCTGAGTCCAAGACCAATCTCCTTTCCATGATACTAGATTGCCAGTCTTGCCCAGTAATGGGACATACCCACCTATTATTCCAAGTCCCTGAGAGGTTGAATGGATATCTTTTGAGATGCTGTTTTTGTCTCTCTGACCAAATAAGAAGATGGGCATAATTCCCAGAACTCCCTGCAGACTGGACCACATGTGGGGTTCAGCAGGCTATATCAAGTGGGGCTTGCTGAAGGAATGAGTGCTGCTTTGGTCTTAGGACCTGGCTGGTTCTTTCTTAAGGAAGTGATAGTTGATGAATTAGTCCCTTTATAATGTCTCTGCAGGTTCAATTCCAAAAAAGATTCAGGAAAGTGGGTGGGGAGTAATAACACTTTCCATATATTTTATCCTGAGTTTTTCCCCATTCATAATTTTTTGTTCAGAGACTAATTTCGCTGGAACAAATACTATATTCAGTCAGAGCACTTGGGTTCCCTAGCCCAACTGATGTAAGATTCTATAAAATACAAAAGCAATATGTGGATTACTACTTATTGAAATACTTTAAAAGAAGTAAAACAGCCAAATCATACAGTATATGTTCTTAAATGTTATTATTTTTCTGACTACCTTGTAAATCACAATTATCAATTCTTAATCAAGAGTAAAATGTGCTCATCAACAGAGGGTTTTTTTAAAGGAAATTTTCTTTCTCTCATCTCAGTTTATATTAAACTCATCACAACCTAAGAGAAATGTATAGTTTTCAGCAGTATAGATTTAAGCAGTCTTAATCTCACATCTCACAGATGACCATGTAGTTACTTTTCTCATTAGTATATTAGCATACACACAACCCTGAGTTGTTTTTGTTTCGTATGGTGGCTATTTTTTTCCTTTCTAAAATTGAATTATTTTAAAAATGTGAAGTAAAAAAAATTTAAAAATAAGTTAAAAATTTCAAAAAATCAATAAATAAAAATGTGAAGTGAATAGTGTTTTAGTGTATTGCAGAACTCGGTAGCATATCATTCTCCAACCTGAAATAAAAGTGAGAAAATATTTGAGAACAAAAAAAGAGAAAAAGAAGGTATTACGTGATATTGTTCAGAGTGTTTCCTTTACAACCAGCTTCAGGTTTTAATGTACACGTCACAGCCTCACAGCAAAGATTGGAACATTCCTGTAAAACACACACACAATGGGAAAGGGGTCAGGATTTTTTCTATAGACAAGGTGCATACAATTTTAGTACAAGATGACAAAGAAATTTTACTTTTTCAACTAAGTTATGCCACTACATAGATTCCAGAGGAAATGACCAAGGAAGCTTAATAATAGAAAACAATGTTAAGTGCAATGAAAACTACCTCTTAAAAGGACAAAAATAGAATTACCCAAGAATAACCACAAATAAGTTTGGCCTAGATGATATTACATGTAAATTAATTTAAAACTTCAAGGGAGAATATTTCTATACTATTCAAACTATTTGAAGGTAGGGAAAAAAATTTAAAATTCTCAATTCATTTTGCTAAGCCTGTATAATTCGTATAATGAGAGCTGGTAATGACACACACACACCTGCACACATATGCATACATACACACATATGCACACACACATATGCACATACATACATACACACATGCATATACACATAATATACATACACAATTTTCATTTTTAATATAGATGCAAAAGCTTGAATAAAATATTAACAAAACAACAGTTTATTAATATAATAACTCTCCATTACAACTATACAGGATTTTTTTTCCACCAAAAATACCAGGGTGTCTCCACAGAACAGAATAAAGTAATATCCATCACATTAAGAGACTGAGGGTAGAAAACAACTACTATTATTGTGATAGATGGCAAAGATTAGAAAATAAAGATAATCTATAAAGAAAGAAAATCTGTGTGATAAATAGAAAAATATATCTAATAAAATAAACAGTAAGACATGGATTATTTATAGTCTATATTTTTATGAAAACTCTGACAAATGTTATGAGAGAAAGAAAAGGTATGAAAGTAAAATAATTGGAAAGTATAAATCACATTTTCATCCTTCATATGTAATAAAATATTTGACATCAGGAAAAAATAGAGAATCTACTCTAAAAACAATGGATGAGTCACTAAGATTGCTAATAGCAAAAAGAAAAATAGAAATACTTCAGAATAAGCTTCATCATTTGCAATAACTATATGAAGAACTTTATATTTAACTTTCCTGAGAAACTCAAAAGGCAACTAGTTTTTAAAACAATCAAATTTTTTGGGGTGCCTGGGTGGCTCAGTCTGTTAAGCATCTGCCTTTGGCTCGGGTCATGATCCTGGGTCCTGGGATCAAGCCCCACATCAGACTCCCTGCTCAGTAGGGAGTCTGCTTCTCCCTCTGCCCCTTACCCCAATTGTGTTCTATCTCTGTTGCTCCCTCTCTCTCTCACTCTTTCTCTCTCTCTCTCTCTCTCAAATAGATAAATGAAATCTTTAAAAAAAGATAAAACAATAAAACAAAATCATATATGAAAATCCAGGATTTTCATATTAAATTAATTAAATTAATTTTAATTAATTTAATTAATTAAATTATGAATTAAATTCATAAATATGAATTTAATATACTTCAGTCAGAATCTCAATTGTATTTGTGAGCAAACTGATAAAAAAAATACCAAGAGCTATGTGGGAGAATGAACACTGAGGAATGATGATGCAAATTCCACATCAAAAAACGAACACGCTTGCCACTGCAGATATTAAAATGCATTGCATAGTCAAAATCACTAAAATAGTGTGTGATGCTCATGTGATAATATCTAGGTCGACTGGTAGAATGGTGGTTTTTAAGATCTGGAAAAAGAATTAAATGGGTATATAAAAATAGTAAATAGCATATGAGATCATGGAAACTTGGATTATTCATTAAAAGATACTATATAAAGTTTATATACTACTTTTTAGGTGTGAAAACATCTATTTAAAATTCAGCTGTTCATAAGCCTGAACTCTAGTTTTATTCAACTCCTTAAGAAGAAAATCAGCACAAAATGGAAGCAATATGGGGGCTGGCTGATGTACTTAGGGAATTTTAGACCCTACCCATGACATAGACAGGGTTCCATTCTCTCTGTCTCTCTTTGTCAGTGTGCACTGTCTACAGGCCCTGGGCCTGATGAAATCAGAAGTACCCCGGAGTGTGAACCGTAGTTGTCTTCCACCCAAGAAACTATATGGGAACGCAAGCAAGTAGGAATGAGATACACTTATATCTAATTTATTATAAAGTACTAGATCATTTCCATTATTTCTTATTTCATTATACATATAAGAATCTTTGCAATACTCTTTACAAACGATTGTTACACCATGAAATCTTCTAATGTAGTTCAACAGCTTAAAATGTCTGAATAAGTAACTGAAGCATAAAGAGATTATATGCCCTCCCTCTTGTCATGAAGCCTCTTAAAGTAATGAATTAATCTTGGGTTGCGACAGGCTTCATTCATTATTGGCTTTGGATCTTTGGAACTAGTTACTTAACTTTTGTGAGTCTCACTTCTCTAAATTGGGATAATAACAAAACCCATTATGAAGTTTTGTGAGTAATAAAGGAGATATGGTGTACATAAAAATTCATTTTGCAGATTGACATAAAAAATCTCTTCAAATAGTAGCTCATTTTTTCAGTCTTAAAAGTAAAAGAAAATTGCTGGGAACTCAGAATGTTCTCTTACAAACTGGTGTGGGATTGCTAACAAATATTTGTCAGAGACATTTTTTACAGTACATTGATACCTTGCAAGGATCAGATTTTTATAAAGATTAGCAGAATTATAGGAATTTTCTTAGATGTTTTATATTAATAGCCTATTTTCCATAGGTTTATGAGATTTTTCTTTCTCTCTTTCTCTGTTTCATTTATGGCTTAGTTTATACACTGGCTTGGTAAGGGAAGGCCAGCTCTCTCTATGGAAAGAACTTGCTTCTAAATCTGTAATTGTTTCTGCTCAACAAATGATCAGCTGTGACTTTAGGTGATTTAAGAATTTCTGACCAATATGTCTAGGAAGGATCATAAATGACATGTTATAGTTAATGATTTACTTCTTTCCATTGAACTTTAGACAATCACGTCATAAGTGTATCCTGGCTTTTGAAATGTCTTTCAAAATATGTCTAAAATAAGTATTAAAAACACAAGTGTGGGGCACCTGGGTGGTTCAATCTGTTAAGCTTCCAACTCTTGGTTTCAGCTTAGGTCATGATCTCAGGGTTGTGAGATAAAGCCCCGCATAGGGCTCTGTGATCAGTATGGGGTCTGCTTAGGATTCTCTCCCTTACCCACTTCCTCCCCTCTGTGTCTTCCCTAGTTTGCACTCTAAATAAATAAATAAATGAAGAAACAAATAACAAATAAATAAAATCTTTTTTTTAAATGAAGAAAACCACAAGTCTAAGCCCCCCCCCCTTTTTTTTGCTATGATGTTATGTTTGTCTTTAAAAAGAATTTCCAAAAACCATTCCTTGAAGAAGGAAAAGAAAAAGAGAACACCATAATTCCCATGAGGCTGTAACTCTTTAATAAACTTTTAAACTGTGGATATTTTCATACCTTAGGAGAACCACAATCACAGTCTTCTCCTGCTTCCAGAAGTTTGTTCCCGCACACTGAGTTTGTTATTATATTTTTAGGAGTTGGTGCTTGCAGGAGGCACTTTGGTTTTTGAGATAAAATGTATTTCTCAAAATGTGAACGGCAGGATATACTGAAATCCTTTGGGAATTTTGAACTGTAAACAGAAGAAAAATCATGATATCTAGTGATAGAGTAACATGAGAATCTGACTTGGCTAACTATATCACCTGGTTCGGTGGAAATTCCAAATTCATTATCCATTTAGGACTGTACTATGTTATATGTGGAGTGCAAAGGAGCATAAATACTACACTAGTTGGAAAATTGTTTCCCTAGATACTGAGCTTGTAGAACTGGAAGAATTTAAATTCCTGTGTGGATTCAGTACTGTCCTACATGGCAGGAACGATGAATGAGCCTTACCATTTGTGATTACCATCGAGGGCTGAGAGGTAAGAGATAATAATTATAAATTAGTGAAAGGAAATAATTGCAGACTTAGGATGTGTTTCTTCCTATTCATGAGCACTTTAAGAGCAAAGTATTCTTTTTTATTTTTCTATCCCAAGTCCTTGCAAAGTGACTGGCATTAGAAGTGAATTAATATTAACATAAAAATGGATTGAGTGATTAGTGATGGAAATATATAAGAAAGTTGTCATCATCTTAATTAGATACATATTTTTAGAAAACATATTATTATTTAATAGAAGTTTGTACTTCTTAATCCCCTTCATCTGTTCTGCCCATCCTCCTACCCCACTGTCAACCACCAGTTAGTTCTCTGTATTTATGAGCATATTTCTGTTTTTGTCTGTTTGTTAGCTTGTTCATTTATTTGTTCATTAGTTTTATCTTTTAGATTGCCTTTATAAGTAAAATAATGTGATATTTCTTTTTCTGTTTGATTTATTTCACTTAGCATAATACCTTCTAGGACCATCCATGTTGACATGAATGGCACTATTTCATTCTTCTTTATGGCTGAGTAATATTCGTGTGTGTGTGTGTGTGTGTGTGTGTGTGTAGCATTTTCTTAACCCATTCATTTATTGATGGACACTTAGGTTGTTTTTGTATCTTGGTTATTGTTTAAAACTATGTTGCTTAATGTTAAAATTATTTTAAGTTAAAATAACATGGTTAACATTCTCATAATCTCTAACTTGGCATATTTGGAAATCTTAAACAATGAGCCCTGATGAGCTGGTAAAACCTATGCATCAAGAGGCTATAGGGTGAATTAAAGGGATTCACAGCTCTTGTTAAAAAAAAAATACCCATTCACTATATAGACTGCATCTGAATTCTTTAAGTTTTAAGAAATATATATTTTTTCTCAAGGGTGACAAGGTCTCACCTCAGATATTCATTCATCACACAACTCCCTGAGGGACACTTGGTATAATATGGAACATCAGGCATACCAAGGACATGACCCAACTCATGAGACATCACTCCTACAAGAGCCACATTATTCTTTTTGCTAGCCTGGAAAAAAGAGGAACATTTATTACTTATGTTCATTTATTTCCTAGTTTAATAAATTTCCACAGGTGAAAAATAATGTCATTTAGCTACTTTTCCCAGCATTGGCTATTGTAAAATGTCGAATTAACATTTGAAATGGCTGGCTCCTGTGCATTTGACCATTGAATCGGTGCTCAATAAATATTTTCTGAGCTAATGAGGAGTTCTTGGTAAATGATGAGTAAATTAAGGTAATTATATTCTTTGTAGGAAGTACCATACTACATATTCAAAGGCCTCCAAAACCTATTGTCATAATTCTTGACATTGGTAGTACTTGGTTGTATGACACCAAAATGCACCTTCTCTGACCTCTTTAACCTCTCTCACCGTTAATACTGAAGATCATTAATTTGAAGTTGGCTCAGGCCACAGAGGGCATCTGGGTTCCCTTTCTGTTCCAGTCTTCCTGTTCTTATTCCCTAATACCAAATAAAGAATGAAGACTTCTGGGAGGGCCAATGTAAGGAGATATTCTGTTTCATAATCCAAGCTATCTTCAGTGCAACTATTTACCAGTAGGTTCATTTCTACTTTTATTTACTGACTCAGCAAATGTTCTTTGTGATAACTCTGTACAAGGCATCATTCTGGTCTTCACAGAGGACAAAGGACCACAGAGAGTCTTATTATGAGTTTACAAACCTCAATGACAGCAACCGAAGCTGAGGAACACAAGGAATTCGAGGCTGCCATTCCTACACGTCGATTGCTGAAGCCAATTCCACTGCATGAAAATTACAGGTATACTGTCACAATCTGAGTCTTTGGAACCATTAGATTTTTTCAGTTATGTTTTAGATTTCCCGTGTTGCTCCACCCTTTTTATATTTGCTAAGCTCCAGAAAAGCTTCTGCTCTTCCACAGCATTATATGATCACAGATGATCACCACAACCAGGAGTCCATTTTAGTAAACATGACATGGGTCTTCACATTCTTATAGGTGAATTCCTAATGGTAGAACTGCAGGCGCTCTGACAACTGATTAGGGAGATACAATTGAGCAGAAATCTCTGCCAAGAACCCTTTGGGATAACTCTCCTCTCTCGCCTACATCCACCCGACCCTGGCCAGCATTAGCTCACCTGAGTAACTGTGCATGGTCGTGTCTCTTCATTTTCCCCAGGTTAGAACGATGCCAGTTCAGAAAGTTGTTAAAGGTATCACCGATGTTGGGTACTATCTTGATCTTATCACCATCTGACCAGATTTCCATACCTACCAATGCCACTTGAACATCTATGGTATTATAAATCTGTCGGAAGAGCATTTTTCTTCATGAAAATGTTTGAGGTTTCTTTATTGTCTTAGATCTTTTGTTGACATAAGTGATGGATAGGTGTATCATGTTTTAAAAATAGAAATCCTAGGGGCACCTGGGTGGCTCAGTGGGTTAAAGCCTCTGCCTTCGGCTCATATCATGATCCCAGAGTCCTGGGATCGAGCCCCGCATCGGGCTCTCTGCTCAGTGGGGAGCCTGCTTCCTCCTCTCTTTCTCTGCCTACTTGTGATCTCTGTCTGTCAAATAAATAAATAAAATCTTAAAAAAAAATAGAAATCCTAGAAGTAACATGTGATTTTTCCTTGATATTGAACCTGGCCTGCTAAATTTACCAAAATTGCTGACATTAATCCCTTGTGACTCTCCCAGCTCCTTACTTGGTGAAACCATAGGGAAGCCCCAAGCTTCTATGTAGAAATACATGTTTACGGGACAAATATCTTACCACATTGAGTAGGTTCATCACATCAAACACAAAGCTTCTTATCAAAGTTAGATTCCCCTTATACATGTTATACTGTAAAATACAAAATACAAACATAATTTTTAAAAAAGTTGACATGGTACAGGATTTAACATTTTAAGAAAAATTACATATTTCAACATAAATAAATGTTTATTCATTCATGTCTGACTTATATAACACTGTTTCAACAAAATCTTTTTAAAGGTAAGAATTTTTTGGTAAGAAAAGAAGTAGGCATTCTTATATATTCAGTGTTTTTCATTTTTAAGTTAAAGAAATCAAATTAATAATTTCAATATTTCTAACCAATTCAATATTATTAAAATTTGATTATAAATCAATATTTGCTAATTTGGATCACAGATTATAGTGTTTTTGTAGATACAAATATAATTTGTAAAATATATATAGTTTTGCATCTACTTTGTAATAGTGAGAACTTTAAAAATATTTTAATAACCCATTTTTTATCATTATAGTTGATTTATTATAGCTATCTGATATTAAGTATATTTCCAATATCTGAATATGTTGGCAGCAGATGGACATTAAAGGGTCAGTGAGTGAATAAGAACAGCAAGGCATGTAGAAAAGACATGACAGGTGGCCAGAGTCTGCATTTTCAGCCATTTGATAAGAAAACTTAAAAGTCAACTTAACCACCCAAGAAGCATACATATTTCATACTCACAAAGGCATTATCCAGCACCAACAAGAGATCAATGTATTTCTCAGCCTGAAGATAGTTTTTTTCCTTTTCAAAGAGTAAAATGACATCATTAATAATCATTTTTATCTTAAAAAAATTGAAAAAATTCCAATGAGATTTTTTTCCCAGAGGGAAATTAAGTTAAAGAATAAATAAATAAATCATAGGTTTTGCCTATATGAGTAACTGTTGAACACAATGGTATACCATATGTCATTGCAGAGATAATCGGAAGAAATGATGACATGGGAAATCTACACTTACTTCTGGGCTATTGAGTGACCTGGAGGTTCGAATATGGCCTTGTTTCCTGCCAACACTTCTTACACCACAAGTATAATTAGCCAGGTCTGGCTCCTCCTGGTTATACGTGAGGACAGCATGCTCTTCTTGGTCTGTGCTTTTCAGAGGCTTTATCATGTATCTTTGGTCATGATGTGTAAAATATCCCCTGTGATATACAGAGACTCATATTTCAAGATTATCTGCCACACAGAGTCACAATACCGACCAGAACAGAGCATACCTCTCCCTAAATCCTAAACTCATGCATGCAGTTTTCATTCATAGGTCTTCCATCTAACTTTTGCTAATTTAAGTTATAATCAGTACTTGTCAATAGTAAAATAAAGTTTATATTATTTACTAGAAAATTCTGAACAAGAATTGTTAAGATGAAGCTATCCCAAAGAATTTAGAATTTATATCATAAATTCAGTAATATTTGTCCATAGTTTATTTATATGTTTAGCAAACATTTCTTGGCAGGTCCTAGGAATATTGTGGAGGACAGAGTAAAGAAGTGTTTAGATGCTGAGAACCCTATGGGAGAAAAAGAATCATTAGCAAATCAGCCAGAGGAACAGGTTGGAACTAGTAGTAGCTTAAAGAATTCTTTTTAAAAATGAAAGCTTGCCATTTTCAACGATGTAGATGGAACTAGAGGCTGTTATTCTAAGCGAAATAAGTCAATCAGAGAAAGACAACAATCATATGATCTCACTGATATGAAGAACTTGAGAAAAAGGACAAAAGCGTCATAGGGAAAGGAAGGGAAAAATGAAATGAGATGAAACCAGAGAGGGAGACAAACCATAAGAGACTCTTAATCTCAGGAAACAAACTGAGGGTTGCTGGAGGGGAAAGAGGTGGAGGGATGAGGTGGCTGTTTGATGGACATTGGGGAGGGTATGTGCTATGGTGACAGCTGTGAATTGTGTAAGACTGACGAATCACAGACCTGTACCCCTGAAGCAAATAATACGCTATATGTTAATTAAAAAAAGAATTCTTCTTTTTAGTAAGAAAATAAGTTCAGAAATACAAAGTGAATTCATATGATGGAGGATTACAAATACAGTATAGCTAGCCATTAAAAATTATATCTGTGAAGGCATTTCATGATATAAGAATAAGCTTATGATATACTGTGGCATGAACTATCTAGAAGAACTATATATATTTTATTTCATATTGCAACCATGTAAAAATATATATCTATATGCAAAAGGGCTGCAAATATGACAAAATGTTAGTGATAGTAGTCACTCCTAAGCACAATTCTGTGGTTGTTATTTTCTTATTTGCACTTCTTCTTACTTTCCAAATTTTCCCTAATTGGCAAGAATTATTTTTGTAAACAGAAATATCACATACATGCATGTGTCTGTGAACACATACACTGTTAAAAATTATGTTAAACACAATTATAAAATGCTTGCAAGGGTGATACATTAATCTTCATTTTGACAGCATTTTATCTATGCAGAAGATTTTACCAAGGTCATAAGAAGACATGACGTCCAGGAAGACTCAGTTCTGTGTAAAGAACAGTACTTAATGTTTAACATTTTTGCAGGTGACTCACCTCAACCCATTACAAGTACTGATGCTGGCAACAGAACCCTTTTCATTTAGTATGTGTCCTTTATAGAAGCAATGTTCCTAAAGATGGAAAAAAGAAATATATTTTTTAACTACAAGAATAAACATATCACAGCTGTGGTGAAAGCTGTTATTTTGAGTATGTAGGAAGATTCTTCAAATAGTGGTAACAGCCAGACCAGTTCCCAGAAACGAAAATAGTGAGAACTTTAGAGATTTTACAACTTCTTCTCTATTGACCCTGGAAATTCCATCTTTGATAGTTGAATTGACTTTCTGGCACTGATTGCACGAAAGAAAAGTCCAAGGAGTGTGAACTTAAGAGGGCTCATGGTAAAAGTAGAGTCCCTAAGACATTGTGCATCACATATCAATAATATGAGGTAATCATTTTTCTAGATTCCAGAATTCTCAAGGAGTCACACTACCACTACTAAGCCCCTCATGGGGCTGGTCCAACTTGTCGTTTTAATTGGTATGTTAGTGCAATCCCTTTACCAGCATCAAAACCACAGAAACTTTGTTCACAACTAGAGATTTGGACATGGTTGGTGCTTTATATAAACGAAGTAGGGGGTCACTTACGTATACTTATGTATGATCCAATAAATTGAATAAATTTATTCAAGCCATTGAATAAACTCTTGTTCAAAATAAACTGACTTGTTTTAGGGTCTGAAATTCCATCTACGTTTTTCTTGATTTGGAAAAAACCTCATCATCGTAAAGATTTTCTTGTAGAGGGCTTGGAAAAAGTACCAAATTAAGATATCATCAACCATTCACACAACAGCACGAGTTAATTTAAATGTTAGCAAAATCTAGAAATCCATGAAATGAAAAATTTTAGATGGGAAGGGAACAAAGAGCCATTCTGTGACAGAAGTTTTGTCTTTTTATAGAGATAGAGATATACATGTTTGGGAGTGCCTAAGGAGAAGGACTATGAGAAATTCACTTAGCTTGGTAAACATTCCATGATTATCTTTTTGTATTCTCTTCCTGTTCTTACCTTGGCATTGATTTTCTATGTCTGACACCTAGGCCTTGACATTATCTATGGCATGGTGGTTTGATGAGATATAAAATTATATTAATTAAGTGATTAATATTCCATTTCTGACCTCAGGATATATGCATGTTTATTCAAAAATAGTAAATAGCTATATGATGTTTCAAGAAGCTACTGGGCAGAGTATTTCTAACTTTTGACAAGATCATTTAGAGGGAAGTGAACTTGTGGTTGCTTCTACAAATGCAATACTTGGAAGCCGCCTCCTATCTTTACCTTAAAAAAAAGATGACTATGATTTTTTTTTCATCTTTTCATCTGTTGTCTCATTGGTCAGAGACGAGCGCTTTCTTTCCAAGTCCTTTGATTTCTTTTTTAATTGTCCTCACAACTATGCATCTTGCAACATAAGTGCCAGATCCCAGAAAGAATCCTAGAAAGCATTCAGAACCTACCATGTTCTGAGGGTCTGTAGTGATTTCCTCTCCTCTGGGTGTGTAATATGTTTCAGAGTAGTCTGGCCTCAGGATGTGTCTGCAAATTTCAGAAAATTGCAAGGTACACTTAGGGTGGTAATAAGGGATAATGTTCCTGAGACAGTGAGAAACAACAGACATTCTGACTCATTGACCCTTTCCAACACTGAAACTCTGTTGCTGAAGCAAATCAAAGCATTAATTATGCCCATTAGATTCAAGGGAATAAATGCTTCCAGATACTTTTCAGCTGCAAATTCTCTATTCTCAAAAGGGTTATTCTGGGATTCTTTGCATCAAAACCCCAGCCTCCAGAGGGTCTCTGAAGGGTGCTAGGTTACAAACATGCATAAAAGACCATTGTATCAGGGAGAAGTGTACTAAGAGATGTAGAATTTGGTGGAGCCACATCCCCAGGGATCTATCTCAAGGCTCTATGCCCTGAATGACCCTTACAAATGTTCTTAGAAAAATAGTGGGAAGCTATGTCAAAAATTTGAGTTCATATGGGTAGAAAAGATTTTCAATAAATTAGGAGAAGTATTAAGGAAGAAAAATTATCTGTGTTGCTCTTTGTTTATATTTTGCATATAATTTCCTTAGAAAGCAACAACCATCTTAGCTAACATTACTGCAATCTAATAACATCTAAAACTCAACGTTTCATGTCTTCTATCTCAAATCACACTAAATAGAGTCTCAAGAAGATTTATTTTTCTATATTTTGTTAATATAATCTAGCAATTAGACTTTCAGGAAGTACAACTTACTTGCTTTTTTGCAGGTGAAGAACAACTTCTTCTCCATTTAATGTTATCTGATACTGAAGTTCAGGTTCATATCTTTCCTAAAAATATTTAATAATATACTGGTATCAATTCATATTTCTGAGTCCATCTGAAATAATTATAATATAATGATACTGTCATATATATAGAAGAATAATTACAAGTGCCTATAGTATAAAACAGTTCTCACGTATAGTTAAAATATATAAAATAAAACACAAATCATACATTAAGATGGATTTCCAAAAAATACAATAATGCAGCAAAAAGACTCACAGATTAAACTAACTTTACTGTGTAAGATAGGGGCTTATTACTTGCCTAACTATACAATATACTGTCCTGTGTTTCCTAAAGGACCACTAAGGATATAATAATAAGGCATATATTTTTATTACTTTAAAACCAAACAAAATATACTAAAGAAAATAAACTAAGAACTACTAAGAAGTAAGGTAAAAATTATAAATATTGACAACAATGTAACAGAGAGTTAGTATCTTTAATAAATTTTATAAATCTTGCTAATTAATGATATAATATTGAATTCTCTGTTATAGACAAAATGCCCAAGGAAAAGGACAGGAAGTGGGACAGGAAGTGAGGGTATGGTTTGGTGAACTTAGCAAGAAACATTTCTTTCTAGAAACATTCTAGAAATGCTTCCTTTCCTATGCTCTCCCCTTAGCCTCCAAACTTGGAGAAATGTCTAAGCAGCTTTATTCTTTCTGATCAATTGAAACAGTTAACTCTCTTGCTACTGTTTAAGTGTGTTTCCGAGAATCCTGTATTCTTTCCTGGACAAAGAGGAGCTATGGATATGGGCTTCAAAATTAAACCGTTAGGCATTACCTCTATTAGTAAAAAGACTCTTTATTGGCTCTATCATTGTGAAATCCCACTATCATTCACATTACTTACCTCTTTGCCATTCTCTGTTTGGTTGTTCCGTATTTCCCTTTTGTGTAAAATGTGTAGTTTTTTAGGATGAACTACTTCATAGAGCTCTAATTCAGATGTTTGATTTATGGCTATTGCTAGAGAAAAAGAGATAATATTAATATAACACATTTAAAGGTCTTGGGTTTTGTTTTGGTTTGGGTTGGTTGGTTGGCTTTGTTGAAATGGCATGGAAGACTGAATTCTCCTCCAGAAAGTAAGTATTAAAAAAAGCAAGGTCCTAGGGTGCCTGGGTGGCTCAATGGGTTAAGGCCTCTGCCTTCACTCAGTTCATGATCCCAGAGTCTTGGGATTGGGCCCCACATACGACTCTCTCTGCTTAGCAGGGAGCCTGCTTTCCCCTCTCTCTCTGCTTGCCTCTCTGCCTACTTGTGATCTCTGTCTGTCAAATAAATAAATAAAATCTTGAAAAGAAAAGAAAAGAAAAGCAAGGTTCTCCTTCTTCCTTTTCCTATCAGCTATGATAACAAAGACATTTTCTTTTGCTCTATCTACTTATTCTGGAAAGACAGGGAGATGATGAAATAATTCTTCAGATGATTTCTCAGTGCATGGAAGATTATAGAAGCCAGGAGTCTGCCCTGTAGTCCATTTCCCTCTTCCACTGTAGTCCCCTTCAAAATTGTAGATTTTTCTCTCAGTGTTCTCAGAGATCTGTTTTTCCTCTCTATGTCTTTTTGTCTTTGTGGTGTAACCCCTGACTAACCCTTCCAAAAATAAAATTATCATAAGCAGGTAATACCTCATTATTAGGGAAGACTCTACTAACCACTATTTTATTTCTAAGTGTAACAATAAACCATTATGTTCTTTCTTTCATTAGCCTTTGCCTCAAGACTTCAGATTTCATATGAACAAAGTTTTGTTATCCCCTGCTGGAGCAATTTCAAAGCATTGAATAGCAAGTAGGAAAATTAGATAGCAAGTAGGCTAAATGTCTTTCTTGATATACTTGGTATGATATTACATAGACCATTTTGTATTTTACCTGTGTATAGTAGGAAAAGAACTGATATCAGAGCCAAAAGATATGGTCTTAAGTCCTACCTAAATGACCTTATAAAAGTTATTTTGCTTTCCTATCAGTTTACTTACCTAAAATGGAGGTTACTATAAAAATTGAATAACATAAAATATGTAAAATTATGTAGCACCAGTCTAGGAAGATGGCAGGTGCAGCTTATCTACTTTTTCTTTTAATTGTTCAATCACTTATGTAAGGTCAGTTTTATTTTTAAATGCTCCCATTTTCAAAGATAAATGTCTGTGCTTAGAGCCAATTTCCCACTGAAAGACAGGGTGACTTTGGGAACACCAAACAGTTTAATACCTGGCTGACGTGGAGAACCTGAAGGAAAATTATCAACCAAAATTTACCTCCTCCTCAGCCCCCAGAGTTCTGCTATGATATTATCCCAAGAAGGACTCATTACACAGGAGAACAGGAAATTTATAAATATATTACTGTAAGTTTTTCTTTTAATCAGTGGAGAATATAAATCCAATTAATGGAAAGAGTTGCTGGGGTTGAGATTAGAATAAATTTTAGGAGATTTTAGTCTTTAACTCTTCAGTTGGTCAATTAAGTCTTAATTTTGCTTAATACTATATTTATGTCTAATTTAATGCTAATTTTAGTTAAATGTGTCCCTTGTCATCCATCCTGGCACAGTTTTCGGTCAAACTGTGTCTTGATAGATGATTTTCTCCTTATGGAGTAGAAAATAATCAATGTTATTCAAGATAACATTGGAGATGGCAAGGAAATTCTCGATTTCTGGTCTGGAAGTTAATCCTCTGGGGTTATTTGGTCTGTGTGTTTTAGAAAATACAATTATAGATCTAGTAGCATTATTGAATGAGAAGTAAAGTTTCAGGTATATCCTAACTAAATTATTATACCAATCACAACACCTTGACTATGAGCATGGAGTTTATGTAAATTGAGTAAAATATATCAAAATGCAAACTGTAGTGATCCTTAGGTAATATAAGAATGCTACTTTCTCAAGGTTACTTTAAAAACGCATTAAATAATTTGACTTTTGTATAAAATGTCGGTATTTTAGTGCTTACCTTGAGTTTGAATGATGAGCCAGAGGACAGAAAGTAGTGCCAAAGACATGTTGCCTACTGCAGATAGCTGAGAAGTCCCACACAGCATGAAACTCGTCTCTCCAGAAGTCCAGTTTTATCTTCCCCTAGTTCTCTTTACAAACTGGAAGGAAAAAAAAACAAAAAAAAAAAACAAAAAAAAAAACACCACCACCACCAACAAAAAAAACAAGAAAAACATCAAGCATTCTTTGTGAAATTAGGGAATGTTTCTTAATGATGTTGGGAAATTGCAGTGTCAAGATCATGAGAATGTTCCTTATTTAAGAGAGGTGTTTATATCTGTGGTTACAGCTTGTTAAAGAATTTATATCTGGACAGCTGCTTGGACCTGGTGTTCCTATAGTGGTGGGAAAACATCAACTGAGACTGAGATCCCTGTGTACATATTTGCCTACTCACCAAAATGAACTACCACAACTGCCATTCAGTAATCTTATAAAAATTGATCTATAAATTAAAAAAATACATTGGTAGTCCATATATATTTTGAGAAATTGGCACAAAGAACACAGAATCTACAAAACAACTCTTAGGTAAAGTCTTAAAAACTTGCATATTATAATCTCTCTGACCTTCAGTCTCCTTATCTGTAAAAACCGGTAATAACAACACCTACCTCAAGCTTTTTATAAAGTTTGTACAAGATAATACACACACATGCATGACACATACACATGTAAGACTATAGAAGAAATGTGTAATGTAAATTCTCTTGGCAGTATGAGCCTCAACCAAATTATTCTGTATATGAAGTACATTTGAAGAACACTACTGCAAAAAAATTACAGTATTTTTCTGATTACAAAAATAATGCATTTTCATGGTCATAAATATCAAGAGGATATTGAAGAAGAAAAGTTAATTACCCAACAGCCCATTAGCAGGAAAGAACTTCCTTTAACATTATGACATTTTTATATCTTTCTTATTTACTAATAAAAGAAATAAAGGAAAATTAAAATTCATAAACTAGTTCTTACTGTATAGAGGGTTTTGAGAACCTATTTTTTTGCACAGCATGAAGCATTTTTGTGTTTTATGCATGTCTCAGTATATGTATATTTCTTCAATTGCCACTTCTAATTACCTCTTATGGATAAATTACTAAGTGCTAGAAATGGTATTACTTAGTTTAAAAAGGTAAATTGATGTGAGATTCTTCATATACATTGACATAATACTTCTCAGAGAGTTATCACCAAATTACATTTCACTTTATAGTTCTCCCAATCTAGAAATCTATGCTCTTTAACTGCTGAGGCTACTTTTCCCAATATATTTGGGGACTTACTGGGACATAATTGTACATTTTATAGTTACTTCTCTATGTCTAGCCTGTTTTCTGTCCTCTTAGATTCTTTTAAATCATTTAAGTTTTCTTTGTAATTTTATACTTATTTTGCTGATCCAGAAAGTCAACATTCTATAGGGGCTGCCATTAAAATTTAACAGAATATAATATTAATAAATATCTCTAGTATCAAATAATAAAGACTTTGGCACAGTTTAACTCTTACCATAACCCACTCCTTGCCACCTTACATGTTGCTGTCAAATATTTCTTTCTATCATGATTCTCATGCCCAAGTTAGTCATTATCATTAGTTGTGTGTTTTATACAGATGAGGCTAATTGAAATCACTACATATATACCACCTTCCTTGCTCACAGGTTCTTTTAACATCAGTTCTTTAAAAAAAAAAAAAAAAAACCAGAAATTCCCAATGAATTTTTTAAAAACTAGAAATTCCTAGTGAAGCATATAGTTGACCCTTGAATAATGTGGTGATTAGGGTGCTGACCCTCTGTGCAGTTGAAAATCTGGGTAAAACTTTTGACTTTAGTCTACTGTTGACCAGAAACCTACCAATAACAAAGTCAATTAACACTTATACATATAAATACGATATACATATACACATGGTATTTTGTATATCAGATGTAGTATGTACTGTATACTTAAAATAAAGTAAGACAAAGAAAAGAAAGTGTTAAGAAAATCATAAGGAAGAGAAAATAGATCTACAGTCTTATACTATATTTTTCTCCAAAAAAAAAAAAAATCTAGTTATAAGTGGAACTGTACAATTTAAACCTGTGTTGTTCTGGGTTAACCGTGTTCTTTGATAAACACTTCATTAAACTTTTCTTAGATAAGCACTTTCATGTTTTTTCTTTAATTTTTGCTGATAGTATTTTACCTTATTCTTTAGTGGTAGTTTAGCTAGAAATAGTTTCAGAGTGATAAGTAATGTCTTTCAGTATTCGGGAGCTGTTTTATTACCTTTTGGCAACTATTGTTGCAGTTGAAAATTCTACTTTCACTCTATTAAGTGGAATTTCATTTTGCTTATTAATTATCCAACAGTATTTCAAGGTGAGTTATCTTAACTTTGAGTTTATACTAAGTCAATACTACATTTCTGGGCATTCCAAGATGACCCTGATACTATCCTTACTATTGAGGAATTCCTGCAACAAAATCTAATTAAGGTAAATCTATGAACAGATACAATTTATATAAATACTACACATGACAACTGAAGTTTGTGCATTGTGTTGGAGTAGATTTTAGAAGCCCATCATTTGGTGAGTAGAGAGAACTAGATAATATTAGATGAAATCAAATAGGAAGGAGGAGTTAAGATGGTGGAGTAAGGGGAGCCAAAGCTTGCCTCATCCCTTGAACACAGCCAGAGAACTATCAAAGAGAGAGAGAGAGAGAGAGAGAGAGAGAGAAAACACATGGAAGGAATTGCATAAGAGAAACTTTTACAAAACCATTGACTGGGAAAAGGAGAGGAACCAATTACCGCAAGTTTTTTGTTTTTGTTTTTAAGTTTTATTGGTTTATTTTAGAGTGAAGGAGAGCATGAATGGGGGAGGGCAGAGGGAGAGGGTGAGAATCCCAAGTAACCTCCCTACAGATCATGGAGCCCAAGGCAGGGCTTGTTCCCATGATCCTAAGATCATGACCTGATTCAAAATCAAGAGTCAGATGCCTAACTGGATTAGACACCCAGGCACCCCTAAATACTGTAAGTTTTATAAACAAAGCACAGAGTCTGAAGTTTTGGAGGTCTGCACAATGGCCAGGGTTGTGCCTGGCTGAATCAGTGGTACACCAGCGGGGAAAGAGGGTGGAGACCCAGGAGTGGGCAGTGTGGTCTGAGGATCCCCTGGGTCACAGGGAAGCTCCTTGGAGTACATTTGGGAGTGGTGGCACAGGCTTTCCATGGGCAAAAGAACCAGTAGCACCAGCATGCTTCCCTGTGCCCTGACATAGGAACAAAGACACCACCTGAGGGCAGCAGACTTTCATGTCAGCTTTTAGCTGCACTTTATCATAAATTCTGAATTGCTTCATGGTTGTACAACTGATTTCTGAGACGAGAAGCCACTGGTAACAGTGCAAGAAGACCCTCCCCCAAATGATCAACATAGGTCCAGACCATGTAGGTCTCTAATATTGGAGTTTTGAAACCCAGCCACTTGTGCTGGAGATAAAACACAGAAATGGTATGCCTCCTGGCAGGTAGACAGCTCAGAAAGAGGCAAGGTGAAGGCAGGAATGTGGCAGAAGTCTGGGATACAAGAGAGCTAATTGTTTGCTCTTCTGAGAGGTCTTTCTGAAGACCTTCCTGAATGAGGTCCCTGCTCTAAGGATGAGAAAGGGGGGCGATGGATGCCATTCTCTACACGCATCAGCACTGATTGACTTAGGGAGCAAAACAGCATCACACAGTGGAGGCCAGATCTGTTTGCATGAAGTCCTACGTGCTCTCCCCACCCCATGCCCTGCAGGTGCATCTTCATTAGGGCAAATTCATCTGAGAATCAGAGCAGCAGGTCCCTCCCCGAGGAGGCTAGCACAAATTCCTCACACACTGTCTACTGATCATAGAGTGCCACAAAGCTTCAACTCTAGGGGAAATAGGATCTAGCTCCCCCTCCTCTTTTTTTAATCTAACTTCTTTTAATGAACAGACCAACACACACCTAGAATCTAGCATACTTTTTGAAAGAATTTTTTTTTAGTTTTTTAAAATTTATTCTCCCCCCCCCCGGGTCTATCTTCTTTTAATAGTAGGCCAAAACACACCTAGGATCTAGCTTCTTTTTTGTTTGTTTGTTTTGCTTTGTTTTGTTTTGGACCTCTTCATAACATAGTCATTACTCTCAGGAGCAGGAATAAAACAGGCTTTCCTAACAATCCCACACACCCAAAAACAGTGACCCAGACAAAATGATAAGATGGGGGAATTCTCCCAAAATAAAGAATAGGAAGAAGTTATGGCCAGGAATTTAATCACTACAAATACAAGTAAGATGTTTGAACCAGAATTTTAAAAAATAATTATAAGTGTACTAACTATGCTTGAGAAAAGCATAGAAGACACTAGAGAATCCCTTACTGAAGTGATAAAAGAACAAAAAACTAGTTGGGCTGAAATTAAAAATGCTATAACCAAGATGCAAAACCAAATGGATGCAAAGACAATGAGGATGGATGAAGCAAAAGAACAAATCAGTGGTATAGAAGACAAAATTATGGAAAATAATGAAGCTGAAAAAACGAAGTCAAGAAAGGTATTGGATCACAAAATGTAGACTTGGGGAAATCAGCAACTCAATAAAGCATAATAACATTTGTATGAAAGAAATCCCAGAAGAAGATAAAGAAAAAGGAGCAGAAGGATTATTTGAGCAAATTATACTGGAAAACTTCCCTAATCTGGGGGAGAGTAGAGATATTGAAAAGAATGTTTATTCTACTACTATAAGATGAAATCTTCTGAATATATCTGTTAAGTCCATCCAGTCTAGTTTGTCATTCAAAACCATTGTTTCTTTGTTGATTTTCTGCTTAGATGATCTGAGCATTGCTGTAAGTGGTGTTAAAGTCCCCTACTATTATTGTATTATTATCAATGTGCTTTTTATGCTTGTTATTAATTGATTTATATATTTGGGTACTCCCAAGTTTGGGGCATAAATATTTATATAGAAACAAATGAAAATGAAAACACAACAGTCCAAAATCTTTGGGCTACAGCAAATATGGTCCTAAGAGGAAAGTATATTGCAATACAGGCCTACTGAAGAAG